TAGAGTTTTAAAAAAAAAAGTTGAATTTTATGTAGAAAAGTTAAATCGCCATCTTGTTCCAACCAAAGTGACTTGAATGCACCTGACATCATAATTATGACTTGTCAAAAACACGAACTTCCCAGGAAGACTTTAATACACCATGTGTGTTGGAGCAGGGTTGGAACAAAACTCTGCAGAGCTCCGGCCCTCCAGGAATTGAGTTTGAAACCCTTGCCCTAGGCAATTGCCTGCTCTGCCTATAGATAGCGCCGGCTCTGGTTATGTAACCCAAGCTTCAGCCTGACTGGATGTTTTATTAGGCTAACCAAAAGTTAATAAAACAAGTTTGACTTGTCAAAATGAGACACTTGTGGCTAACATTTTAATAGGATGAGATCAACAGAAAGGAAAAAAACACTGATGAGCGTGAAGCTCCACGATATAAAGTTAACTACAGCTGTGACATGACCTGATTGTGGAAATTTTGCATTCACACTAGAGATTTAATGATTCAAAACAGCTCGTGCAAGGCGAAAGATGAACAAAAAAGTAGTAAAAAAAGAATACGCTTGCAGGTGCATCACTGTTTGTGAGGAAATAGTTTAACTCTTACTCAGAGGAGTTGCTGTACTCCAACTAAGCAACAACAAATGAAAGGCACGACATGAAAGTAGGTGGAGCTTATGCCATTAACTTCCACTGACCACAGAGCAGCCGGTATACAAACAGTCACTTTCCTCACCTGCTCTGACAGCTCTCAGACACACATGAATCAAAGCCAAAGAGGTTGTAATGATCAGACTCTGGCACACAGGAGAAATGTCTGCTGACTTCAGAGGGGGATGAGTGATATAATATGAGCAAGTGAAACGAAAACCTTCCCTAAGCAGGAGTATAATAATGCTCTCACACACTAGATACGTGTTATGAAACACCCAGCCTCATTGATCAGTGCAGACCACGTCTCACTGACAGATGTTAATCCTCAATTGTTGGCATGGCATTGACACCACAGAGAATGATAAACTTCTTGCAGCTTGTTTGGAAGTGTTTCCATTTCTTTCTGTCTGCTTCTTTCTCTTTGTGGTAAAATGACTGGACTGGATTGGAATGTGTAAGTGTTTGCTTGTAAATATAAACTTGACATAATGGACAGACAAAGAGACCTAAAGGTGGATGTGTATCAAGTGTCTTTTGTTCTTTGCTCCTATCGCCCTTAAAAAATCTTAAACGTCGCTGGGATGCCATTTTGATCAACTGTTAAAAGAAGCAGAATGCACAAACATTCCTACAAATAAACATTCTTTATTGCCGTATATGGTTCCATGAAGAACCTTTAACAACTATGAAACCTTTCCATTACACAAAAGGTTCTTTATAGTGGAAACATGTTTTTCACACTAAGAACAAAATGGTTCTCTTTAGGAAGTTGAATCACAAAAACAGCTGCTCACAATCATTTCAATTTTTTTTGTCAATCACTGCACTGATAAAAACGGTTATGTGCTGAAGTAAATACTATGGAAAAACACATTTTCTACATTAAATAATTTAGGTCAGGCAAGAACAAAAAAAGTGTAAATTCCATATCAGTACTCAATCAAGCAAGTAGAAATTAAAGTTTGAGCATATAAGTATATTTTACTTGGAATTGTTTGTTATTTTTACAAGGATTTTTTGAGTAGGCCTAAATATCAAAGTTATGATACTGGTGTGCATGCATACATACATTAATAATTAATAAGGTTGGATTTTTTGTTTGTATTATATTGTGTAGACTTATCTTAGAAAGTGTAACAAGCTGTCTATTGCCTTGTTTACTTAGATGTTTCTAAGTGAACCATATGCTTTAATATCATGGCTTTTTTCAGTGCTACATGGTTAGAGTAAAGATTACAAACAATGATTTAGTAAAATGCACTTGAGTATTGCAGAGTAAATGTCAAGTGATTAAATAGAAATTACTCAACAAACTTACCAAGCTGATTTTACTTATTCTCTTTTAATTTTATATATTTAATTTTACAAACTTAGTTAAGTAGATTTGACTTAATTATATACTTAAATTTACTTTAAAAATATGTGTGCAAAAACCTGCAAAATAAAAATTAAGTAAATTTTACTCTTTTTTTTTTTCAGTGTACCAGTAAAATTGTTTTAGCAGCCACACCTTCATTTTCTATTATTTAATTCTGCCCATGTGTTTATAGCTGATCAAATACCACATATGGCTTGAATACTTCACATCTTTGCCCTTATGCTGCTTTAGGACAATCAGAGAGACATACAAACTCATTTAAATCATTTTGGCAAAACTCTTAATGTTTAGAGCAGAAACTCGATTTAAAGTATTGGATATTTTCTGAATGTCCTGAAAAGATGACTTATGTTGAATTATGTATGCTAAGTGTTTTTATGTACAGAAATGTCGGGGTGTGATATAGAAAGAGAGAGTTTGTCTCTCTTAGGTACATTTTGGACTGGTCCTTGGGGATGAAGAGACACCAGCAACCTCAAAAACGGCTTTATATAGACACTTACTTAAATACATATGCACATTCACTTAAGTGGTTCTTTACTGTCTGTCCGCTAGAGTTTGTAATGCAAACGTTAATCTGACATATCAATCAAAAAGCCTTTTTTTTCACTTGTATCACTGAGCACAAAACAGACACAGACTTTAATTTGCACATGTGTGGATTAATTCATGTAGGGTATACAGTCTTGATTCTGGTGAAAAACTAAGGTTCAAATAAATCTATCCATAAATATTCAAAGAAAATATTAAAGGAGTGTTCCAGGAACAGTCAAGCTCAATCAACAGTGTTTGTGGAATAATGTTGATTAACACAAAGCATCATTTAGACCTGTCCCTTGTAAAAAAATAGATGTTATAGTGAGGCACCACATACAATGGAAATGAATGGGGCCAGTTTTCTTAAAAGCAGAAATGTGAAGCTTAGAGTTTTATGAAGTGCTTAATTCTGTTAAAACTTGTTTATTTGAGCTGTAACGCTGTTCTTGTTATTTTTACGATCATTTTAGAGTTTTTAGGCATTATGTTGTCATGGAATCAAAGTTGTAAAACTGGACACAATTTTACTTAGCATTTTTTTTGTTTATTAAAAAAATCATGCATATTCTTAATTTCTGCATGTTTGAAACAGTAACTATTAACATTTACGGATTTGCTCTTTCACTTCCATTGTAAGTGCCTCACCATAACCCAGAGTTTTTTTTTTTTTTTTTAATACATTTTTGTGATAATCAACATCATGCCACATGTCAATTGAGTTTAACCTGTACTGAACCTGGAATATTCTTTTAACATAATATTAGCAGGTCTCCATAACCTTCAAAGCTATTTCAAATAAATATAAGAATTTTTTTTAAAAATCAGAGTAAATGGGCTGTACTTTGCCGTAATGTTCTGAGTATAGTTACTAAGCAACAGGTGCTGTGCACACACACACACACACATTCAAGCGGATGTGATAGAGCAAAAGAAATAGAAAAAAATGAAAAAGCCAGGGATGGGTAGAATCCAAGAATCCCAGTTCCTATAAACAAACAAAATGCGATGATGAGATATAACTAAAACTAGCTCAGCCTCCACTGATAAACAACACAACTGAGCACTTTCCCTTCATTTTAGCAATCTCCGGCCAAACCAAAACAAAACTGAACAGCCCTCTCAACTTCCGCCCCTCACTCAGCTCCTCCCAGTGCTGCTCACCAGTTAATTCTGAATAAAGACAATCATTCTGAATAACCTCAAACTCTTCCCTGCAGCATTCCTCGTCCAATTCAGACACCGTTTACGACAATACAGCACTGCAAATGCAATATTTTACTGCACTGCTTAAATATGTGGAAGGCTTGCGGGTTATGTAAAGTGCTTCTCTAAACTCTCGCTTCTTAATAGGGCAAAGTTCATGCCAGGAAATCATTCTTCTTGTAACATATATTAAATAAATGAGACTTTGTATGTTACAGTGTTATTCATTTTGATACAACTGACGACCGGGATTAATAATGAATATTCTCTGAGGACCACTAATATCTTCTGAGCTTTGCTGCAAAGAAAATAATAAAGATCACAGTTAGTTACAGTGAATAAATGGATATTAGGAACTATCCTTTGCACACTAAAAATAACACTACTACTTGTAGTAGTACTCACAGTAATGGCCTTTTGATCAAACTGGTCCTCATGACTGGATGTGAATGAGAAGACACCTCAGGACCTGACTGTTCAGTAAGATGTAATTATTGTCTTGATGTTTTTGTATCTACAAGCTTTAATTAATTATGTAGAGTGTTTAATTAATTACGTAGAGTGGTGCCTTGCCTTTATCAAAGCAACAACAGTCCAAAAAAAGAAAGAGTGTGATTTCATTGATTTATTTATGCAGAGCTTATCCAACACATTCTGACTCTTTCTCATTTCCTTTTACTGTTGTACTGTCATATATTCCATACTTTAAATTCTCATCTCAATGCAAACATTCACATTCTCCCTGATGAGGGGGCATTTGAAATGTTTACAAACCTGACCTTACATTAATTTGATCTTAAATTCTATAATTTAATAAAATAGTCCATTAAATTACACATATAAAAAAACATGTAATTTCATATTTAATTTAATTGATATTAAATGCCCAGACAGGAACATTTATTCTAAATGGCCTTTTTTTTTTCTTTTAAAATAGCCATTTATTTTGCTCTTCAAATGGCTAATTTTGTGTATTTAACAGTCCCATTGTAGATTTAATGTGTGCTCAATAATAAATGTTAGGCCCAGAGCTCGTAAAGTGCGTGCCATGCATACTCTCACTGGGGCTCATTGATTTTATTGTATTTTTCACCTTTTTTTTATTCCTATGATATACACCAGTGTTATGTTTTACAAAGTGAAAGTGAGTTGTGATCTCCTGCTGGTATTTGCAGCGTGTTCTTATTTACCCGTTTTACTGGCGCCGTTCCTGTTGGCTGTATTATTTAGTCCTGACAGTTAACGCGCTCAAGGACTTTCCTGAGCGAACTCTCCGTAAAAGAACTGCTGACCCCGGCAAAACACCGCGACACAGCAAGCTCTCCCTGCATTACCTCGACTGAGCCCAGGAAAGTACCTGACACGAGAGAAAAGGGCTGTAATTGTACTTAAAATAGGAAAGTGTGAGTTGTTAAGAAGTGCCCAGGGTACTGTAGCAACCGCCGCCATGGCTCGGACTGATCATTGAAAACAGACAGCGCAAATCTTATCGCGTTCTCAAGGTAGACGGAAAACAGCTCGAGCGGCGGAGAGAAATTCCCATCCCGTTCGGGTTCACTTTCATCCGCTCATTTTCGGAAAACTTCTTCTTGACGTTTAAGAGCAGCCTATGCGTCTCCGGCTGAGCTCTCGTTTGATTATTATTTGCTTACACGGTCTCACGCTGCGCAGCTCTTTCGTGTCTGTCTGACTCGAACTTTTTCAAGGATTTCGTCGATGAACTTGTTGCGGTGAGTCCCCTTTAAACCTTCACGGCCAAGTGTTGTACTCTGTTTCTAGACTATGGAGGTTCCGGTCGGGCTGAGGGAGGCTTGCGAGTCCCCAGACGCCGGTTTTCACGGACCTTACCAAAGCGTTTTTCAAAACGTGCGCGTCGCGAGAGCGAGCAACCCCGAGAGTTTGGACTTTTCTAGCTCCAAGAAGTGCGGCTGCCTGCAGGAGACCGCGTCGAGGGAAATGCGTTTAAGCAAGCTGTCCCCCGGCAGAGGAGTAATATGCTGCCCCGAGAAAGAGTGCGAGAGTGCGAGTTTAGTGATGCAGGCGGCGGCGAGCCGTATTCATTTTCTCAAGAGTTCCACAGGAAGCAGAAGCGACTCGTCTCTGTCATCTAGCGGCTCGGGCCGCGCAGACGCCACCGAAAGCAGCGGCAGTCGCGCAGGTTTCCTTCGGGGCGCTGAGAGCGGACAGAAGCGCTGCGGTGCGGTTGAAGTTCACACGCGCGAGTTGGGCTCGAGCCATGACGCAAGTGTGGCGAGTAGAAGTCGCGCGTGCACCACCAGCAGCAGCAGCGGCGACAGCAGCAGCAGCATCTCGGAGACAGCGCGAGAGCTGTGCAAAGCCGTGTCCGTGTCTTTGGGCTTAGCTATGGAGTCCAGCGAACTGGGCGAGGTGGGACCGCACCATGCGCCGCCGCCCCTGACCACTGAAAGTAGTAGTGAGGAAATCTATTTGATTGGAATGCCTTTGCTCAACTGCTCAGTGAGCGAAAGGGAGGCAGGTAGGAAAGACAGAGACTACGCTCTCGCGGCGGGACGAGACAGAGGCACAGAGCTGCGAGGCAGGGACAAATTGCTCGGGATGTTTAAAAGTGGCGACCTGGAGCAGCTAGCAGGTGAGGGGACGACCTTGCAGTGCAGCAGCACGTCTCGATCACACTTAACCGCGGATGTACAGGAGGTGCATGAGTTCGGCAGCCTGTCCGGTGACTTTGGCAACCTGAGTTCAGAACGTACGACAGCAGCGGATATAGACGCAACGCGAGCGGCTTCCTGCCTGTTTGAACAACTGTTGCCCGCGAGCATGACCCATTTCGTGCACCCGGAGCTAGAAAACGGACCGAGCCAGAGCCAGAGCTTCGCGAAGCCCGCGGAGATGTCCGGCGAGTTCGCGGGCCCCGTGGATGATTACGTGAATCTCTATAATGTCAAAATCAAGGCAGAGATGATGCCCCGTGAACTGAATGACACCTGGGCGTACCCGCATAGGTACGCTGAGGACAGGAACGGCCAGTACGGACTTCCCAATCAGAGGACCGCTTACGCATCTGGCCACGAAACGCCTTTTATCTGTAACCCCTATGAGTACGGCCGAAGCGAGGCTCTGGTTCCGAGGGAGCGACCTCCGCCTGCACAGTGGTACCCCAACGGGATGTTGACCCGTCCCCCTTACCCTAACGTGCCCTGCGTGAAAAACGAGATGGGCAAATGGCTGGATGTAACTTCATTTGAGGATGGCAGGTAAGAGGGGGCACAGTGTGTGTCTGTGTGAGTGTGTGTGTGTGTGTGTGTGTGTGTTTAACACAAATCATGTTCTGTGCTACAACTAATTCATTACGTTGAAGAAGATAATTAAAAACACTGCGCGCGTTAAAATATAAACAGGCGCGTCTTTGTACCCCGAAAAGCGACTACTGAGGACAGTGAAAAAGTTAGGAGTTTGCCTGACTTGCAGAATTTTTTAATTATTATTTATAGCCTATATTTATTTTATTATGATCAATTAATGCCTAAACGAAATTAGCAAGAAACAATGCACAGGATCATATCATACTCATTTGGAGACGTGCCCTGCGTGAAAAACGAGATGGGCAAATGGCTGGATGTAACTTCATTTGAGGATGGCAGGTAAGAGGGGGCACAGTGTGTGTCTGTGTGAGTGTGTGTGTGTGTGTGTGTGTGTGTTTAACACAAATCATGTTCTGTGCTACAACTAATTCATTACGGTGAAGAAGATACTTAAAAACAGTGCGCGCGTTAAAATATAAACAGGCGCGTCTTTGTACCCCGAAAAGCGACTACTGAGGACAGTGAAAAAGTTAGGAGTTTGCCTGACTTGCAGAATTTTTTAATTATTATTTATAGCCTATATTTATTTTATTATGATCAATTAATGCCTAAACGAAATTAGCAAGAAACAATGCACAGGATCATATGCACTCATTTGGAATGCATAATTACGTTTTTTAAGAGATGTACAGCCTGCACAGACCCAGGGACCTCCCATCCAGATTCTCAGCTACCCCAGGGGCCCCCAGAATAAAAATTATTTTTACTTTTTACTTTTATGATAAATTTCATTAAAATATTGATATAATATTAAATTAGGGTATATAATGCTCATTAGATTATTAGTTCTAATAAGTTCATTCAAATAGTTGTGAAATATTTTAAAGAAAAGGCTTTGTTTTATACATCTTCTCCACGTACCCCCTGTAGCCTAGCTCTTTCACATGGACCCCTGGTTTCATGCTCAGTTTCAGTTCTGTATTGGACTGTTCTTTATAGGTTTTCTATTAATGGATCAGGATCAGTTCTGCTTCATGACCATTTTATAGGAATTACATTTGTAATTCCTGAAGGAAGCGTTAATTTGCTTGAAGTTCCTCTCTTTATGTCTGCAGCCAAGTAAAGCAGTACACAGAGACAGCTGTAGACATTAACTTAGAGACCCATAGTCTTTAACACACAGGCCAGCCTCCTCCCTCAAGGTTGCTGGGTTCCAGGGATACTGCCATCAAGGCAACCCCACACGGTCGTGTCCAAACGCAAAGACACCATGCCAAGAGCCTCAAAGCTGTTATCCTTGAACTTCTGCATATTCATGTTCTGAGTCAGTCTCTCATTTAATAACTCACAGGCACAGACATGGAAAGGGCACATTTTGATTCATACACCGACATGCAGGTCCTACGGTCATGCTATGCATTTCAGTTGACAGGCGTTTTTAAATTGCATTGCATAAACTGACAGTTTAAGCATTTATGTCTTTATATGTTTAGTGTTTTGATATCTCACTTTGTCAACATTTGTGGTTTTACAATGCTCTTTAAGTATAAATAAATGTAATTTGACTTTACTGAACAGTGCTGGCTGTTAAAAAAAAAGGTGGTTTCAATTAGACCTGTACAAATTGGAACAAAAGCAGAACATTGATAAGAAAATATGCAGAGGCTGAAATTAAACTTTTCCTTAAACTAAGACTACGGAGAAAAACAGTTGCATGTCTCTGCACTTGTCTAAAGAACTTGAGTGAGTATTTGGTGCTTCAATCTGAACCATAGTTAAGCAAGCATTTTGTCCCGAGGCTGTTTTTTAGTCTACATGGAGTGTGTTTTTTCCCCTGAAAGGAATTTGAGCTTTGTTGTGTGTTTAACCTTTGAAGCTTTGGGGTTTGAGTTGGAGGCAAAACCACTTGATCTTTGTGAAAAAAACGCTTCGTGCAGACGCCAGCCAGAACATGAAACTGACACACAGAGACCCAAATAATGAGACAAAGTGTGAGAGACTTCACACTGGTCTTGACCTAATATCGCACATAATAAATCTTCTTAACATAAATCTAACAACATGAAGCCACATTTAGGCAGAAAAAGTGGTTCGTGAACAGCACAACAAAGTTCTAGGGTACACCGTGAATCTTTGAGTAAGAATTAGGCTACATGTACAGTTTACAATATTAATGGTTTGTGATGGTTGTCTACTTGACCACTAGCTTGTTCTTTTCAAAACATTTTACATTTTTAACAAGCAGTGAGTTTGATGATTGGATGGTGCAAAAATAGACAAACTATTTTATATTTTTGAGGGGGAGAGGGGTCAAGAGAGTTTTTGTGTACATGTGTCTCTGTTATGTAATAATCTGAAGTACACCCTGGTCAAATTCAGTTCTGCTCAAACAACATTCCAAACAAGGCAAAGGTTCCTTACAAAGCGTTCTAGGTAGAACCAACATGGGCTTGTACCGAGAACCCTAAAAGAGTTTGTTGTAGCCACATTGCACTGGAGTGCTGAGAACCCTCTGTCAAAGTGTTTTATTTGCATTTACAATGACTATTTTAGGTGTAGTTATAGCAATCATATTTAAAGTGTGCCTTATGTGCTGAACTGTACACCGGCAGTGCTTAGAACAAATGGTTGCTTAAAGGGATAGTTTATTCAACAATGAAAATTCCATCATTTATACATTTTCTTGTCATTTCAAACATCTGTGACTTCCTTTTCTGTGGAACATGAAAGATATTTTCTTTGTTTGTGCATACAGTGAAGTCAGTATGATGATCTCGGGTAGGCTACTGATTATATGCTTCATTCAATGTTAAATGTGTCTAATGTGAGTTTGAATATCATACTGCATGACATTTATAGACATAGGCCTACTGAAAGCAATAACAACTTTTACTTCAGATCTTGAAAATAAATTAATGCAAAAATATAGGCTATACGTTAAAACTGCAGGCTCAATGCGAACCAACAAGTGCTTTCCATGACAAAGATTGTATTAGGGCTGTAGCTATCGATAACAGCGCTGTGGCTGTGTTTGGAATTTTTTTGTTGGCAAAATAAAGCAAAAACAGGCAATATAGTGTCTAAAACGTAAGTCTCTTAATATTACCTTCTTGTTTATTGAACTGTTAGATAAAATCACATTTGTAATCATGCTGATTTTAGAGGTGAAAACTGGCACTCTTCGAGTGATATTGACTAACTTTCTTTCTGTGGTATTTTTATGCACAATGGCGTTTAGTCTTTCACAAAACATAGCTAACGTAGGGACATTATAACTAGCCACCATATTGATTTACAGTCTTAAATATGTCCATCGCTTTATTTTTTTAAAGGGGTCATATGATTTTGCTAAAAAGAACATTCTTTTGTGTATTTGGTGTAATGAAATGTTTATG